TCATATCATGAGAGGATGAAAGGGATGGTTAAGAGGCAGTGAAATGAGAAACAAAAAGAGCCCTGAAAAGATGAATGGAAGGTGAGGAGAGAACAGAAACAATTGTTTTGCTCTCTTCTCTTTAGGTTACCATCAATGAGAAAATTTACTCTTTTCCCTGTTTTATGAGTTATGACGTTGACGACTGGGAGTGAAAAATATCAAATGTCTATTGATGCGTAAATGAAAGGAATTTTAAACGCGAAAATGATCAAGTTTTTCAATACTTTCGTACCATTTCATTCAAATCAACATGTTTGGAAATTGTTATCAATTTGATTTTCCAAAACTTTTCCATTTTTTGGAAAACTTTTGTAAACTTTTGAAAACTCTTGAAGTTCATCAGTTGAGATTCGATGAAATTCAGTTTCATGTTCATTGCATTCGAGTTACTCAATTCAATCTAATAGCTTTTTGATAAACTAAATTTAAAATTGAACCGAAATTGGTTTGAGGTGAAAGTTTGAAAGAAAAGATTTCTTTTCCCTTTCGTTTTCCAAAGTATTCAGACTGATTTGACAGATAGTTATTTGTTCATTTTGCTGAGTGATGAGTGAATCAGGAAAAGAAATGAAGAAAAAAAACTTCTTAGTGGAATCAAAAAAGAATCAACGATAATCTGGAAAAAATTGTTTTCTCTTTTTTCTCTCTATTCGTCTTTGTTCAATGTTGGCCTCATCTTTCCATGTCCACCCAAAGGATAGGAATTGAATAGTGTTGTGAGAAAGATGTTGCCAAAGAAGATCAGTTGAAAGGAAAACACAAAAATGTATCAAAAAAAAGTTGAAAATGAAACAAACTAAAGTTGTAAAGAAGGTAAAGAAAGAAAAGGAAACAATTTTGATCTGTTAAAAATCGTTAACGTTTTCCTTGTAAAAAGACTCAACTGTCTTTACATGAGTGACTCCAAGGTGAGTAGATGAAGCAATATGTTTGAATGTATTTTTGGTTCACCTTGTTTTCACTTGTATTTGCTTTTGATGAGCAAGAAAAGAGAAGAATAAAAAAAGTAGAAAATATTTCTTTTCAATTTTCTTCTGCTATTCCAAGTTTTTTCGATTCTTTACAAGCTTCACTGATTCTTATCTTCATGATCAACATCTCTGTTTCCCTTGATGATAACCTGATGATAACCAATTGCAATCTTTAATTTTATCCAGTCAACAGTTGACTCAGTTATTCCAACAACCAAAGCCTGGAGGCTTCTTTTCCAGCCAACCGATTCTTCGATTAACAGTTGATTAACTTTACAATGAAAAGTAAATTTCAAGATAAACATAGAGAAAACACTAAATCCATCGAATTTTCGATAATCCAAAATCTTTTCCAAACTAATCATTTCCTTTTTTTCAATACGAATTTGAACTCGATCAACAGATTTGTCCATTTCTCGACCTTTTCCAATTTGAATTATTTATTTGCCAACATTAAATCTCAGATTAATTGTCTTAGAACATTTCGTTCCAAGAATTTCGTGTTATCTGATGAAGAAATTAATGGCAATAATTTGTGTCAAGATGAGTGAAAAGCTCCATGAACCTTATCCTTAACCTTAGCACTTTTCTCATTGAACCAAATGATAAACACTCGACAAAAATTCCAATCATTTTGTTGCGCAAAAAGCAGAAGAAAAAGTGACTCGATTTGAGAAGATTTTTCTTCATCTTTTTTCCTTCATATTGACTCGACTCAACAACAGGCAACAAGCATGTCGACTCATCGTATTTACTCTATCACATTCCCAGTAATAATGGACCAACAAAAAGCGAACCCAAAAGTCAGGCAAACATGAGAATAAAAACATTTCAAGAGAAGAAGAGAAAAAAACTCTTCAAGTGACCCTCCATTTCATTCCATCTCATCTTTATATGATATGAAAAACAAAAACTATCATTGGATAATATCTTGAATGAGAAGAAGAAAAAGAAGAAAAAATAGCTTTCTATTCATCGTTATCCACCAATAATCACATCCTTTTGACTGGTGCTTTCGAGAGAAGAGAGAGAAGAAGAAGAAAAGGCATTTCTCATTTCACTACTTTTATCCTTTATCTTTACATCATCACAGTGTTTTTCCTTCTCTTCTTCATTCTCTTATTCAGAATTTTATCTGCAAAAACTAAATAATGTGAGAGCTGCAAGATGAAACAAAAAGCCACCAACAAGCCTACTCAATCACTGTTATCATGTTTCCATTAACATTTCTTGTTTATTCATTATTCCAATTCAATCCAATAACATTCCTATTCCTCGATTCAATTTACTCTATTCATTTGCCTCTGTAAACCACTCATCATACTCATCAAGCAAAGACACTGGATAATGTTGTCAGATAGATAAAGGCTGTCCAGTCGACGAACGTTGAAAAAAAAGAAAAAAAAGCAATTTATATCTGGAGATAAGTCACGAATCTTTGAATTCATTTATGCTTTTACTTTTCACTTATTGCCATGATAAACATGAGACTTTCATACCTTTCAACCAGCTAACCTCACCATAAGGATAGCCATAGACTGGACAATAGAACCAAACATTGTCACCTTCCAGTGCGGTTCGGTTTTCCAGTGGCTTAATTCCAGGTTCTCCATAGACGTTGATTCGCCTTGAATGGGTCACTTTACCAGCCGTGTTGGAAGCAATACATTGATACAAACCGGAATCTTCGGTTCGAATGGAAGACACGTTGACATAGCTGGTAACCTTGTCCCGTTGACTTACATAGTCAGCATACCTGGTTCGATGGGAGCTCTTGATGGGCTCATGGTCGAGGGTCCAAGTCACTTGAGGCAAGGGTCGACCACGAGCCGAGCAAATGAGGGAAAGGGAAGCTCCTGGTGACAACAGTTGATCAGTAAAAGTTTCAGTAAAAATTGGTTCTTCATCTAAAGGAAAATTTCGGAAAAGAAAAAAAAGAATTGAAAATTTTTGCAGAGAAATTCGACAGAATTTTTTTCCCATTTTTGTTCTCTTTTGCATTTTCTACTTAAAAATTGAAAACCATTAATTTCAATTAACTAGAACTGATAATGCATAAAGAAGATTGAAATGCATAATCAAAAGGATTGATTCAATAGCCTTGTGACTTTGACAAATTGACTTGAAGTGTTCAACTTTATTGACTGGGAAACGTTCAAATTGAAAATAATGGGCTTCAAATTTATTTTGCTTTTAAATAGTTCAACTTGGTTTCTCACTCCAAGATTACTTTTGGATAACACTTTTATTTTGAGCAGCAAAATATCTTATCACTTATTAGATGTACATTATTCTTATCCAATGTCTTATCTGATGATTTCATGTGAAGAGAGAGAGAGAAAAGAAGAGCGAAAAAAGTAATCTTTCAATTAAGATGATCGCTCTCAACTCTTTACTCGTGTCTTAAAAGGTTCAACAGCAATATAAACATCATCACCAACTACAACAACAACAGTGAGAAGAGCTAAATCTTTACGTCTATCGATTTATTTTAATACATTGAAACGTTCTTCTCTCTTTTTCTTTCTCTTTCTCTCTCTCTTCTTTAGTCTAAACTCGTAAAACGCTTAAATAAACGAGTTAAAGATGGATAGACAAAGTTAACGAGGATAAGAAGATGAAGAGCATGATGATGACGAGAAAAGATGTTGAAAATGAGAGCACAAAAGAAAGACTAAAGATTAAGATTGCTTGTTAGAAAAGATAAAACTTTATTCTCTTCTTGTTTTCCTTAAACTTTTCATGCTTTTATTCAGTCAAAACCTTTTATTTTCAAATAAAGTTACGTCTGTTGAGCATTTCATCACTTGCATTTCTATCCAATCATGTAATTCATCTTTTTATCCCTTACTTTTCTCTAGTTCATAATGAGAGGCAAAACTTTTACAATTTACTTTTCCATTGCTTCAACAAGCGAAAAAGAAATTCTGTTAGAAACTTTTCTTCTTTGCATCGATTTATTGAATTCGATGCAAAAAGTTGTCAAAAAATCAGAATGAGAACTCTATTTCATTAAACAAAACTAACTTTTGGCTCTTGTTCGCATTCAGTATATTACATCTATTCCCTGCCGAATGATATTTTTCCCTCCCAGTAAATTTATCATTTGATTCTATTCGCATAACTAAAGTTTATCTTTTTTGATTTTCACCTTTATTCGGTAACACTTTTATCGTGTCTGAACTTCATTTAAACGGACAAAATCATTGTTACGTTTTTGTTCATCAGCATTATCTTTCTACTCCCTGCTCAATAATATTAATCACTCCCATAATAAATTATCGTTTTTAATTCTATTTTCATGACTTTTAATTTCATCAATTTTTGACTTTGCAAACTTTATTCATTCACACATGATTCGCGCCTCCTAGTCAGGGAGTGATTTGTATCAATGAAAATTTTTCGTTGAGACGAATTTATATTTCTAATATTTTCTCTTGGGAAAATTGCAAAATTTTGACAAGTGAACAAAATGAGGTTGAACAAGTGTCATGAAAAAATCACTTTTTGTCATCTAATGGATGAGTAAAGATGAAATTCAAGTTGAGATTAACATTTAACGTTACTTGAATATTTACTGTTTTTCATTGTTTTATTACTCTCACTTTGTTGTAATCAAATTGCATTTCTTTGCTTCCATTGAGCTTCAACAATTTCCGTTTAAAGTTGAATTGCAAGGGATGATTGGTCTTTGACTGTTAACCTTGCTTTCAGTTTCATCTTTAACCAATCATTAACTGATGACTGTCAACAGTTGCATTGGAAGAGAAGCGAAAGAGAAATGGATTGAGAATGAGAATAATGATAATGATGAAAGTTTATTGTGATTAACAAGAGTAAACAGGTAAACATTAGCATTAACTTGAAACTAATGGTTAACTGTTTCAATATAATTACATTTAATTGGCCTTGTTGATGACAGATCAAAGTAAACTGTTTCATTTTACTCATGAGAATTGGTTAGAGTTTCCATCGACGAAAGATAATTAGGATTACGTTTGTCTCTCTTGACTCCCTTGCAATAATGATAATGTTCAATAGTGAATCTGCACTGATTAAAATGTAATTGCCAAACACAAGGTAGTCATTTTCAGAGTGCAACATTAGAAGAAGAAGCGAATCCATTTGTTTAATTCAATTCGAAAATGAATGGGAGAAAAAACGAAAAATTCTCCTTATCATAAATTCCAAATAAATGCCAACGAATTTTACAGATTGATTCTGATTCTTTTCGTTCGAAATCTGAAGTACTTTTCTGTTCAACTGTTGCTTTAAATTGAAACGATTTGGGCACAATAATGTTCAACAAACAGATTATTCTTTGACCTTAGGCTCAACTATTTTTCACTGCAACTCTTTTTATGAATATTAAATGGGGTTTCAATGAAAGAACTTGAACTTTTGTTGAAACTCTTTTTTTTCTGCTTGCAACTAAATTCCAAGATGAGATTACTTCAAGAGTTAATTTTAAATGTACTTTGAAAGGTTTACATCTTCAAGTTGAACGATTGAAACATAATCAGTTGATTCAACAAATGTCATCATTTTTTATGGGTCAAGTCGAGCAATCAAAGTACATTTTTGTTCAATGAGAAATGAAATGTTTAAGTAAAAGTGAAGCAACATTAATATACATGACTCAATGTGAAGAGACAAAAATTTTGTATTGCCTTTGCAAATTCTCAACATGATATTGCTAATAATATTAGTTGAGTAAAGGTTTGCGAACATGAACATTATTCTTTTGTTGAGAATTGAAATGCAATTATAATTGAATGCTTTTTTGACTCTGATTCAGATTGGAAAAGAGAAAAGAGAGAAAAAAAGCAAAACATGATTCAGATAATTAGGATAATAAGGGCTGGATAAATGAATTTCATTTTTTTTCTTCTGCCTTTCTTTTTCTTCTTCTTCTATTCTGAGGTTAACCAGAGGCCAAATGCAATTAATGATGATATTTATATTTACGTTACATTATTGCATGAGAGGAAAATGCAAGTTTTTCAATGTTCTATTGAATAGATGAAAGTGATACAAAAGAGAAATGATGAGAAATAATGAGTGAAAAGAATGATATTTACCATCAAAGAAAAGTTGAATAGTTTGTTGAGTTGATCCTAAATCATTAGAAGCTAAGCAAATGTAGAAACCTTCATGTTTACGTTCCAAGGAAAGTAAATCAAGAACAAGTGAGTGATGACTGTTTGGCTGTTGATAATGACGATAATCGGGTTGAGCTGGTAATGATGATGAACTTTTCATTGGTTTCAGTGTTGCCAAAGGTAAACTTGATTCGAGTAAAGTTTTACCCTCTTTTGTCCATTTAACGTTCTTTACTGGAAATCCTTTGACTGTACAATTTAAAGATAAACTTGAACCCAGGCTTATGGGTAGACGAGTGACTGAAGGTGACCCAACCACTGCACTAACTTTTGTACTTGACTGGCTTACTGGAACAAGAGTCGGGCTGGTAGTCAGGGTTAGACGTAAAGGTGAGTACACTGTTAACCGAATCTCACACTTGACTCTACCCAAGTTGTTGGATGAGATGCATCGATACTCATTGGAATCACTTGATTTGGGTTCAGTAATTATCAAAAGTCCATCGGTAGTTGAATAACGAGATGAAGGTCTATTGAGGTTTACTAGAGGCACATATTCATCGCTTGATCTATCACTTATCCTTTGGAACCATTCATACTTTACCAAAGGATAACCAGAGGCAATGCAAGGTAGATAAACACTGTGGTCACCTTCACGAGCACTTATTTGAGGTAATTGAAAAAATATCTTTGGACTGGAAGGATTTTTAGCTTCTGAATGTAAAAAAAGCAAAAGGCAGAAACGGTTAGAAAACATGAATTTGCAAGAATTTTATTGTACTTCTTTTCCGTAAACTTCTCATTCTCATGACAATTCAGCTGACAAAATTTTCTCTTCCAATCAATTCTAAGATGAGTTCTTTTTTTAAATTTAATGTCCTTTTTTCTCGATGGAAACTTGAAATTTTCAGCAACTTTGTGAAACTTTTGCTCAGTTACTCTTATCATTTCGAGTTATAATTGATGGAAATGGATTCCATAACTTTATCTCATGAAAATGATGAAACTGTTGAAACTAATGAAAGTAATGATCAGTGATAAGGATAAAGTCACGAATGAAAGATGAAAAGGTGAAGAAGCCAAAGAGAAGCAACGAGAGAAAAGAGTAAACAATTGAATGGAGAATGGAAGTGAGAGAGCAAATAATTGATGACAAATTACTGAATAATGTTGATTCACCAGAAAACAACAAGGTTAACCATAAAGAAGAAAATATAAGAATGTATAGAATTTGCTATTTTATTATTATCATTATTGCAATTCCATATTATTATCACTTTTCCAGAGTTTTTTTATCGTTCGCTATTATTTCACTTTCTTCAAGGTGATAAAGCACAATTTTATTGCCATTATTATTACTCTTGTTATTGGTACTTTTTATATCACTTTATGCCTTTTCTCGCCATGAATATTACATGTGAATGTAGCTACTCGAGTAAATCAATTCACATCTAGTTTTCGAGACAAGAAGTGAAAGGAAAAGGAATATCGAAAAAAACAAGAATTTCTCTCTTTTCCAACTTACCGATAACTGTGAGTTTCCCTGGAGTTGAGGTTATACCAGTTCGACCAGTTTTATCATTTTTAACTTCACAACGAACTTTAAGATAAGAATCTTCAGTGTCAACTGAACGTACAAGAAGCTCACCAGACGGTAAAGCTGTGAATTTATCTGTGAAAATGAGAAAAGAAAGAATTGAGTTTGAGAATAGAATTTTTTTCTTCGAATTTTTCCTTTGTTTTGAAATTTTCTTTTTCAAAGTTTCTTGTTCTTGCAAAGATGTTGCATTTCGAATTTTCATTTTAGTCCTTTTTTCTCGCTTAAAGTTTTAATGGATTGTTTCAAATTGCGTGAGTTTTTTCTGTTATAACTCTTCATCTTGAGTCTTCTAATTTCAATACTTATCTGGAATTAAGTGCGTTTTCATCATTCTGTTCAACTTAGAATTTCTTTTACATTATTTTCTCTTTTTTTCAACATCACTTTTCCTCTCTTTATTACTTTGCCTGTTCATCATTTTCACTTCCAATTTGTGCCTCTTGATTGTTTCATTACCAATTTACACTTTCTTATCATAACGTGTTGATTTAAAATTAAATTTTCTTTCAACAATAACTATTAACCAGGTTCAACTTCATCTTCACGTTTTTTTGCTTGCTGTTCAACTTTAACCTTGTTCATCATGCAGCAGCACACTCATCATGATCATTATCAACATCATGTAAGCCTTATCCTAGCCTTTTCTTTCTTCACTTAATTTAATGGAGAATAAAGTTCAACTATTAATTCCCATTAAAAATATCAAATGAGAATCTTGAGAATTTAAACTGTGAATAAAATTTTGTCTTTCACTGATGCCTATGTAAAGATGATATTTTCAAATTATCACACTTTTCTGCCAATTATAATTTAATGGGGAAAAATGATGTTTCAAAAGTTCCTTAGTCAGCATTGCAAAATTGTCAGCAAAAAATTAGTTAACAAAAGACGTAAAAATTTGGCTCTAGTTGAGCACAGATTTCATCCCAATGGTAGCATCTCTTAGGTTGTATTCAATGAACCTCATTGGGGTCATTCACGGACAACCAATGTTGATCTTGATGCACTGATCTTCTGCGTTTGGGTTCGACCTCAGCTCGGGATTTAATATGCTCGGTATTTCACAAATGAATTGAGTGTGTTTTCAGACAGAGCGATTGCTCTGGAAATCGCTTCTTTAAAAAAAACGCTAAAAAGAAATTAGGTTTTTTTCGAAAATATTTACGATGTAGAACTTCATGATTGATACACGGTCAGTGAGTGCAGTGAGTCAGTAACAGCCTGCAGCTTTACACTGCACTAGTCCATTATTAATTAGCTGATGCAATACTTGAAATTGAATTGAATGCTTATGCATGGAATGAGTTTAATCCGTGCCTGTTCAATGAGCAATTAAATTAGATTCAATTAAAAATCAATTAACAAATTTTCCTTTCTTTTTTATTCCATTGTAAATTGTTGCAGAATTGAGCACTCTTTTCATTTACAACATTTAACTACAAAATTAAACTCAATATCATGGAAACTTAATTCAACTGAAACAACAACAAAATAATGACGTCAATTAGTACAGTTATTTACCCTTTAATCAACCATTTCAACATTTAAATTCATTTCTTCTTTTCGGTTTCATTCCATTTTCATGTTGACAATGCTTTCCAAAACAAAAGAGAAGCAGAATTTTCATTTAATGGACTTGAAAATTTCAATTCATCAAGTAAATAAACTGTCCAAAATTTACTCATGAGCGCACAAAGCTCGCAATAGATCAAAACACAGAAATGCACAAAAACCAACAAAAAACTTTAACAAAAGCAAGAAGAAAAAAGTTTCAAAAATAAAATTCCAATACTTGTTGATGAAAACATCAATGAATAGTAAAGAAGAGAGATTCAGAGTTTTCAGGTCAAAACAAAATCTTGATATAGAGTCGAGTAGGAAAGAAACAGCTTGGAAAAGGAACAAAATGAAGGAACAAAATTTGCATGATAAATTAAAACTAAATTGACTATTACCTTAGATAATGTTGAAACTCTTCTTGAGTGGAAAACAAATTATCTTAAGCAGAACAGTATTCATCATCGTCACCTCAATAAAAATGATTCCCATTGAATATTCAAGAATTGATCAAGTGAATAGTTTTCATGTTTTCCCTTTTCAGTCTTGGATAAGAGTTTAGAAGCGCAAAAAAAGTGAAGAAAAATGTTTCATGGTAAAGTTGATATAATTCATTTACATTGGTAACTAAATAATCAATTAACTGAAGAACCTATTTTTACCTCATTTTTCGTCTCCAAAAGAAGAAAAGGAAAAATATCTTGAGAAGAATCTTCTTTTATTCTTTTTTTTCTTCTCTCTTCGTCAACCCATTCAATGTGAATTAATCTGAAGAAACTGAATGATCGCAAAATTAGGTGCATCTTGCACTTTCCCTTTCCTCTCTTCTTCAACATCATTCAGTTTCTCCTTTTGATATCCCTTGTCAGTATTATTCATGCAACTCTTTTCCCAGCCATGGATTCAACACAGAAAAGTTATTCCAACTCTTAATAAAGTGAAATTGACAGAGACAAATTTAATTAACAATACACTGAAAAGAATATGTGAGAATGTGAAAAGAGAGAAAAGAAGACAATTCAATTTTCTTGTTCTACATTTTCATCTCTCAATCCAATATTCCAATTGCGAAAAGTAAAACATTTCATCTTGCATTATAGCTAAACAAGTGTCATGATTATTAAATGTTATTCTTGTTCAACGACTTTGAGGCTTGTGGAAGCAAAAGGATTATCAATTTGCAATGATTAATCTCATTTGTGACATTAAACTAGATCAATGAGCTGAACAACTATAACTGAGAAAAGCCGAGATAACTTTAGTTTTGAACAATGACATGTCAACATTGCCAGCGCAACTTGAATCAGAATTTTTTTAAAAATCACTGAACATCGAATCAAGAACTTGTAAAATCAACCTTCGAATGTCAAAAATTTTTGTTGGAAATTTTCTCATTTTGTTCGTCAATTGGTTCGCATCTCCATTCGAGTCATTTTCTGTTAATTGCAACTGAATGAGCCAATGACTTTACTTCAAATGAATATTGATACTTGGTGCTGTGAAAGCCACTTGGAACATTTAAAGTTTTTATGTTCTTCGTTTTGGAATTTTAAAATTGAGAAGAAATTGCAACTCGAAATATTCCAGGTGACTTTTTTTCTCCATTTAGATATTTGCTTCATTTCATGGCTTGTGTTTTGACAGGAACTTGACTTTTCAGGGAAACAGTTTATTCATCCTTTTGAATGAACTTAATTGAACAAGAACATTTTTATTGGCCAAGAATGAGTCAAATGGACTGTAATATGATATATAATTGATAATGTTGAAGCAATAACAGCTTGAATGTAAATAGAAGATGAAAATCTGTTTGATTATTCATTATTCTGTGGATAATATTGCCTTCCGGAAATGGTCAATAAAATTGTCAAAGTGTGATGAGAGTAAAATGGCAAACAAAGAAAATGTGAAAATATGAAGTTTTATTGACAAAAGATGATGAAAGTGAAATGAAGCAAGAAAATGCATTTTCTCAAGAAGCTCTTGATCCCTTTGGTTACTGCTTTTTTGCTTCACGGTTCCTCAGAGGGTTAAGGTTAAATAATATCAATTGATATTGAGATGTGAAAATGCTCAACGATGGAAATAGATAAATATATGAATCTCTAATGGCAATAAAAGTAATGATAAAAGGTGCAATAATTGTTAGAGTTATAATGGATGGAATAACCTAAAAGGTCTTTCATCCATTGTTTTGCAAAATAAATGATAAGGTTTAATCAAGAGACGATAATACAGTTTAAGATGTTTGCATTTGTGTATTTGTTTTGTTAACGTTTGCAATCTACAATTATATGTTAAGCGAAGGCAAACACTTAACCTTGTTAATATAATTACATGTGATTCCTGTCAACGCAAATTGACTCGTTTATTTTTCCTATTTACATCTGGAAAGTAAAGAAGCAAGAAAGTTCTATAATGTTGAGTCAAGTTGAAGAGAATATGATTAGAATTATGAAAATCAAACAAATATTGTGCCTTTATTTGAGTCAGCTTAAGATATCAAACCATTACCAAGCATTTTATTTGAATCATCTTCAGCTGTTTATCATATAAATGAGTTTAAAAATTTGAACTTTTATTGTAAAGTCAAACATGTTATTTCAGGAGTACAAAAGTGTTCCGTTGCTTTTTCATTGGTTATAAATTACATTAATGAAAGTCCGCTGGTTGTATGAATTATAAATATCAATTTTCTGAAGCTAGTTGCTCAACACAGCACTAGATAGAGATTGATGCTGACTTAATGTCATTCTATAAGAAAAATGTCAAATTTTTGTATGACACTATTTTTTCAATCTTATATAGCCATCGTGAAACGATTCGTTACAAAAGTGGAAACAGTTGCAGATTTTACTGCAAGAATTTTTAGATAGATTTTTCCGGCTATATTAAACTTCAAAATCAGCTTTCGTGTGATGTATCAACACAATTGTGTCCATTGATACAACCGCTCTAATTGAATCTGACTTCATCAGTGAACAAGATTTCGTTGAAAAAATCATGAATTTCTTCGGCCTTATTCACAAGGCTGTTGACCATTTGTACACGGCGTGCAAAATTTTGGTTCTTTCACCTTCTAATGGGCCTTAGATGTGATGGGTTGAATTTGAGATCCTCTGTCGGAATTATATGGAATGAAGATCGAGAAATATTACATTCTAGGCAATTCTTCGAATTAAAGCTCCCAACAGGTATTTGATTTTCGAGCGAAACAATCAATTCATGCTTCCCAATTAGCTTAATTATTCAGCAAAATTTATAGCGATATCCTGCATTTGCGTGTCATGATATATCAATTATCTACAATGCGTTTCAGATAATTTTACCGTTGTAAGTTGACTATATATTTGCCCATACGTGACCTTGAGGTTAGATATTTTGTCTATGGAAATTTCGGCGATACTCAACCTGTCACATTTCAAGGTCAAGTTCATTCAAGGTCATTGCGTTATTGGTCCTCTAAATGATATTTGAAGGGCGTTTTCTAAGAGTGCAAAAATTTTCAGTCTGGTTGATTTTTATTACAAGTTAGTTTCTCACACCGTTGAAAAGATTAATGCATTTGTCTAAAACCAATTGACCAACACATCAATATGTAAACACTCATTTCTTGTGACCAGAATGCGCTATGAACATGTCCCTAGCAGCAATCAATCTGAAAAATCTTTGCACACTTAGAAAATGCCCTTCAAATATCATTTAGAGGACAAATAACGCAATGACCTTGAATGAACTTGACCTTGAAATGTGACAAATTGAGTATCGCAGAAATTTCCCTAGTTAAAATATCTAACCCCAAGTTCACTCAGGGGCAAAGATGCAGCCAGTTTACAACAGTAAAATTAGCTGAAATGCCCTGTACAACCTTGTTATGCAGACATTCGTTGAATTTGATGTTTTTTTATCTTTTTTTAATCTTTATGTAAAACATCAGATATTAGGATTATTGTTTTAATAATTGTACTGAATGTTTCGGCATCAAAGCTATTTGTTATAATGACTGATAAATAATACTTATTAAATAAAGTGTTAAACCAATACTTTTGGATGAATCCATTCTCACATCGAAATTTTAACTGAACCCAATTGTTTATCCGAGTCAAATGACAATATTGGTAAGAACTGGAAACTGTGATAGTATATGATAATGATGATGACAATAAGTGTAACAATAATGGTGATGATGAAGCGAAAAAAGAAATATTGTCAACTTGAAAACACTTTTTCTGGGTTAAACTATTCAATACTGATATTGTCTTATCGCACAATGGATAAACTTTTCCAGCAAAGTGTTTCTCATTAATGCATGTCACTAAACTATCGATTACTGTTGTTGAATAGACTTGCAAAAAATGCTTATTTCTGCAAATTATTAGACTTTTCTGTTTTTTCCATCTCAAACCGATCATGATGAAAACAGAAGAGACTAAAGAAGGTTACCAACAAAAGGTTTTAAATGTAAATCACATATTTATGAATGGAAAAAATGGGTAAAAAGAAAAACAAAATTTTCCAAGTAAAGTTATAGTTTGCTGCAAATGATTTCCAGTCAAAAGAGAAACATTTACACTTTTATCCTTTACCCTTTCATCACTCGGCGAACCTTGCATCATTATCTTGATTATCATTTGATAATATTTTAAAGGTGAATTGAAAAAGACTCTATCAAAGTCTCTTTCCTTTATTGACTCAAAAACAGTTAAACTGTAAAGTCAATATTGAAATATTGACTTTCAACATTTTTCCCTTTCAATCGCTTCTCTTGAACATTCAACTTTTCATGTTTTCACTTAACCTTAATCGGATGAGAAAAAGCGAGAGAGAAAAGTTCAATAATTTGATTCCTGATGAATTGTGAATTGAACAATTGAAAAGTGAGAAGAGGCGAAAAAAGAAGAGCAAAGATTTTGCCATTTTTCCAAATAAAAATTTCGCAAACAAATTGATAATTTTATTTACTTGTAATTTCAAAAATAAACTCGGAAATTGCATTTCAAGATAAACAACATTTGCTCTTGTTAACAACGAAAGAAACCAAAAGTAAATGCAAAAGATTGAACCAACGAAAGTCTATTTTTTCATCTTTTCTTTTTCGTTGGCAAATGAAATGATAAAATAATTGTCAACTTCCTTTTTTCAGTTTCACTCAATGTTTCATTCATTTCTGACAACAATAAGAGAAGAAGAGAAAACATTGAATTTCATCTTTTACTCTTTGCTTTGTTTTCGTCTTTTCACCAACTTTACTCTTCGTCCAACAAACATTGTCACTTGAAGTAAAAGAGTTGAGATTATGATAAACGATGCAACGAAACATTGATCATTGTCACAGTTACCAACATTACAATATCAATTTTGGCGAGTTCAAAGGTTTTCCAAATGAAATATCGTCACATTTGCTAATAATACTAATGACAACAATTTGTGAGAGTAAAAAGGAAAACTCGATTTTCTTTTCTTGTCCCTTTTTCCATTTTTTATGACATTATTACAGAAGCTAATAAAAGACGCCTTTTTCACCTCGTTCAAGTTGACATTTTGCTTCTCATCTGTCTTTGGATAAAACAACAATTTTCACCCTTTTTCGTCTTCTTTGCAAGCTCATGATAAAGGTGAAATTAAGTCGTGTGAATAAAAGTGAAATGTTTATAATGCTTTTTGACGAAGATGAAAGTAAAGAGGAAATTTGTTGTCTCTCATTAAAATGTGAAGAGAAGGAAAATAATTTCTCTTTTCTCTGTTCAGGGAAGAAGAAAAGTTATTGCTCATTGATAAGGCATGACGAATGACGAGGAGAAGATGAATAAAGCCGAGAAAATGATACATGGAAATGTATCATTCCAAGATGGTAATCTGGTAATCAACATTTTTTCTTCTTTTCTCTTCTTTTTGCATCTTTTCTCTTTATCCATACCTTTTGTGATTCTTTCCCTGATAATCATGTAAAGGTAAACCTCTGAAAATGTTAACATTATCATGTAACTTGATGGGAAGAGAAAGGAATCTGAAGAAAAGATTGTAAAGGTTGTATCGATGGAATGGAAGAAGAAACTGGCAGAGAAAAGTCTTGGAATCTTTGGGTTGTTTGGAAAGGAACTAAACATGTAAAGATGATGAACATGATGATGCACATGATGGTAATGATATGGCGATATAAAGTACTGATAATGTCATGTAGACTCTTCAAGAATGTAACCATGTCAATGTTATTCTTTCCTTTTATATCTTTTCTTCGTTTTCCTTTTTCTTTATCCATTTTCCATTCTTTGTATTTTCCTGTTAACCTAGCCAAGCAAACTGGACAATATCAGTGAATATAAAAACATTTGATTGTTGATCGAGAGAGAAGCGAACGAAGAAAAATGAATCTGATCATTATCGTTGGAAAAATTTGTTCTCTACTTTTCTTTTCTTTCCATTAATATCGCCATTCCAATTGAGTTTTTATTGTTGTTCTTATCATCTCAATCAAGTGGTACTTGTAACCAATTAAATGGTCAATTGATATCGCTGACAAGGTGAACAATAAATGAAGAGAAAAGTTTTGCAGAAGAAACTATTTCATCAGATTCTATGCTGAAACTTTGATAATTTTTCGTTTGATAAATTATTCTTTTCAATTTCTTCTCAACAATTTTTCTTCTCTTTTTCGAGGAAAACACTTTTCAATGTTAATCTAAATAGTTCATGAGTATGAACTTGGGAGAAAAGTTAAGAATGAAAAAGATGCGAGAAAATTGAGTTTTAACGAAACATTGAATTTCAAATGTTTATAATGAATAAAAAACAACTTTGAAGAAATTTAAACTTTACTTTTCTGTTCAACTTTACATGTTTCGATAAGTTGAATCGAGTTGAACAATGGAAAGGAGTTTGCTCGAGGCGAAATTTCCTATTCAAAAACAAATCACAATTTCGAGTTGAATGTGAACTTTTATTTGACTTTCAATTGATTATCCAATGTTATTAAAACTTTTATTATGATCAGCATTAATTTGCCATTTTTATAGTTTAATTTGAATTTTAAATTTTCTTTGAAAAATGATTAATTACTTTGTTTGTGAACTCATTTTGAACACTTTTTAAGGCTAATTTTGTTTTACTTCAGTCTTTGAATAGATTTTATTCAAATTTTATTAATTTTTGAAAACTCAAGTTGTAAGGAATTTTTATTGAAGAAAATTTCAAAATTTTGTTGAGAACTTCGAATGCTCTTACCTCGATTTTCTGGAGGTTTCAGTATGATTCCATTACTGAGATACCATGATTTGACTCGAACAGTGTCTTTAAGATGATCGGGAATTTGACATCGAAACACGGCAATGTTACCTTGGATAACAAATTCGTCATAAACTCTCGGTTCCAATAAAGAGATGAATTCTGAAATTAAAAAGAATTTTATTTGTGAGAAAATGTTTACTTTAATTTTCGAAATTTCAAACAGAAAATTTCTCAAAAAACATTTATATGGATTGTCAAACTGATTTCTCGATTCAAGTTTGAGATCGCATGAAATTGTCAAATTAAATATGAAAATGGATGCAGAATTTTTCCTTTCCTCGAGAGGCAATTTTGTGTAAATTTTTCATTAAATAATTATGATTGATTTGTACAAGTAACACTACTTATTGGTTAGGTAAACTTATACAACACAACCAATGAATAACCTTGCACTAATGTAAGTCAAAGTGAAAACAAGATTTAAATTAACCTCATCAAGCTCAACATCTTGAACTTGTTATCGTTCATCAAACGTCTAAATGAAATTATAACTTTTCACATTTACTCTTATCACTTATCTAATCATATCAAAGATTATATTTTATTTTGACAAGATGATAGACTTGACGTAAAGTGTAACTGACACGTGATTGGTTAAGAATACGAGTTGGAATTGAAGTCAGATTTCTAATCACAGTTGAGATAACTGTCGTTCTCATAAAGTTTGAAGAACCAAACGAAATCGCAAATCTGTAACATTTTCATTAGAATAACTACGAAACACTTAATATCAGCTTAAATGTTGGAGCGACATGAAAAAAGCATTTCAACATTTCAGCACTTTGTACAATCGAGTCTAACAAGTTGCCAACGACTTAGTTTGAGTCGATAAAAAAAGATAGTAATACAATAATGCAATACAAATTGAGTTAGATAACGTTTTGTTGTTAACCTTGTTTTGTTATAAGTTGAACACTATTGGATAACAACATATTCATATTATTCATTAAGTTAACAGAGAAATACATTATCATCACCTTTTATCCTTGAGACGGGGTCAATAGAGGTTTATCATGATAACAGGAGATAAAGAATTTCACATTGAATACTTGATGAAATGTTATTTAACATTATCTATTCACTCATTTTTCGTCCAACCTTTTATGCTGTTCAAAAATAAACTCCCTTTGCAACATTCAATAATCAAGTTTTTTTTCTACCTTTTCTTTCTTTCCTTTTCCTTGCTTCTCCACTCTTTTTTGTCTCATCATAAAATGGATATTCAAACAAATCTTTTTCAAGTACAATTGAACCTTTTTCAACTCAAGATCATTCATTGTTACAAGCTATTATCACGCAATATTCAGATTATCGTAAATGATGATGAAAATGATTCTCAACCAATTTGCTATCAAAGACAAAACGAGATGAAAAAAGACATTAAAATTTTGGCAAAAATTGTTGAAACATTTTTCTCTCTTTCATTGATTGGACAAGAATTATTGATAATTTAATCTTTCAATTGAAACCATCACTTTGATGTATCACTTGAAGTGGATCAGCAGAAAAGTTTCAAGAGAAGGAAAAGAGAAATTTTTTTACATGATGAGTCAATTGAATACATTTTTTTGTTCAACTTTTCTTCTGTCACAATGTAACAGAATTCATTTGAAAATATCATTTCAACTTGAACTTATAACCAGAATATTTGCACCCAATAGCAACTCTTTTTGCCTTCTCATTTCATCTTCTTCCTGAACTTGTTTTAAGGACCAATGAGTAGAGTTTTGAAGAAGGGAAAAAGAAGGGAAAAAGAGAAGAAAAAATAACAATTTCCAGTAAATGGATTGGAATAGAATACTGTTTGAGGAGAAGAGAAAAAAGTCAGAAATGTTTAGTTCTTTATTTCAGCGACTAAATTTGCCTTTCATGAGAATCAGTTGAACATATTATTTAAAGCATTTCCAATTTTGAAGAAACAGAGAAAATGATGAAGACGAAAATGTTCAATGATAACACCAATGAGTTCAGAAGAGGAGAAAAAAAAGATTAAACAGAAATGATGTAAACAAATTTTCATTTTTTTCTCTCACCATTTTCTTCACAACCCTTTCATGGAGCTGAAAAAGTTTCAAGATTGGCGAAAAAAGTTAAGAAAAAAAATTCTCAAGTAAACATAAAAAGTTGAAAAGTTTTGATTTATTAGCGAGTAAACAAAAAGCTTGCTAATTATGACTTGATGTTTGCTCATCATTTGGATTTTTTGATAACTTTTTTTTCGAGTCTCAAGAAAAAAAATGTTTCGATTCAAGTTTTGCAAAATGATGTTTGACGCACAAAAAGTGCTTATTCAGTGAAAGACGTGAAAAGGTTAAGAAGAAAAGGTTGACTTTAAATGTTGTTAATTAATGAATCTTGCAGCTTAATTAGTGTTTGTTAAGCAAATGGAAATGAGGAAAGGCTTGAGGGAAAAAGGAATATTCCAAGTCTTAATTCTTTCTTTTCCTTCCAAATGAATAAATCTTTCAATGACATTCTCTTCACTCTTATCTTTTTTAATTAATATATCCAAATGTTGACTTTAATTTGCTCAATTCTGTCAACTTTTCCTTTTCATGGAAATCATTTTTTTTCTCCTCTTCGTTTTGTCACATTTCTTTCTGACCTTTTCTCGATTTTGTTCACAAAAATAATGTTCCATGTGATTGAGTTTGTACAAACTTGTTTAACCAAAGGGTCAAAGTTGACTGAATAACATTTACTTAACTGTAAAGAGCAATTTGCTTTGAATAAATGATTGAAAAGGTACTGTTCATTTTTCATGATAAAATCTTGGACTAATTAAAGGTGAATGTAAATTTGACTTTTTTTCAAATCATTCAAAGTCTTTCGAGTTTTTGAAAAATTTTCTCGTTTCTCTTTGAGCTTCAACTTCGAGTGCATTTAATGAAGTGCAAAATAGACTCCAATGAATAAACTCTTTTCTTCATGGTAAATGGAATCAGTAAAAGTGAAACTAGTTTATCATGCAATAATAATTCAGGTGAAAAATATGTTGTCAATTGACACGCAAAAATGAATTTTGATGAACAAAAAGGTAAACTTGAAGCCTTGGAAGAATTGAACAAAACTGATTTTTTTCCATTCAATTCACATTTTAAATCTCTGTTGAGAATTGAACTTTTGGTGCATTTTTTGGGCAAAAATATTCATCTCTGAATTGACATGGAAAAGATGAAAAACATTCATCCTTTGCATAATCAATAGTAAATCATTTATCTATAAGTTGAGAGAATGAGGTTTTATGGAGAAAGTCTAACTTGTTAAACTAGTTAATTGGTTTCGAATTGATATTTGAGAAATTTTGAAAGAATTTTGTTTGCGATTCTTACCATATTTACTTGGAAGTAGAGTCAACAGTCCAATGATGAGTGAAAATTTAAAGACCATTTCAATGCTTGTTTAATCCTTTATCCACTTTTATCCACAAATTTTACTTCAAGAAAAGCAAAACTTTTTCTCGTGAAAAAACTTTAATCTATAATCAACTGAATCCATGGTAAACTTGAGTCACAAGGAAACTTTATTAATCAATTTAAAATGGAAACAATTGATTGGTAAAGTTGTCAGTTGCAACCGAAATCGTTGACACATTCGAGTTGAAATGAGAGACAAACTCACTGATGATGATACTTTGGTTACAAAAAGCCAACTCCAAGTTTGTTATTGAATAAAATGGTTCTCACATTTGCACGAGTAAAGGTTCAACTTGCGCAAGTTTAGTTGATAAAAATGCCTCCCTGAGCAAAGCGCCATCTAAGGGAAGAAACTTTTTTTTCGAAATTCTATTTCAATTCATCATTTCTACATTTCGCAATAAGAAAATTCATTAATTATTCTCCATCAAACTCTTAATTAACAACGAAAGAAAATTGATGAAGTTGAAAGACAAAATTACCAGAAATTTTCGTTTCAACTTTTGTGGAAAATTTTTTTCTTCTTACAAGATTTCCTAATCAATCCAGTTCATTAACTCATATCGAGTCGAGTGAAATTTGATTCACCTGTGATAATTGAAAAAAGAATGAAATTTTTAAGTTCGATTTTCATCTAATTCTATACTTACAGACTTTTCATTCTCACATTTCAAATTCGGAAAAATTTTGATTGTTCATTGCCTTATCAAATCAAGTTGGTATCAAAGAACAGCAAAAATTGAAAATGTATTAAAGTTTCAATGCGCTTTTGGCGATAAAAGTTTGAAAAGAAAAGTATTTTTTCTGTATTCATGGAAATTTTGATACACAGAGATTGAACTGAATTGATAAGTTATTGCTTTTCATTGAATTTCTCTTTCAAACTTTCAAGCTTTCTGCTTTCAAACTGTAGCGAAGTTAAATTTTCTCATTGTGATTCATTGTGAAACTGTTTAGATTTTTCTCTCTTTTCCATTCTAATTATTCATGAAATCAATTATTTATACTCAACTTTTACAGATGAATTTCATTGCCATTAGTTTCATTGAATAATGTAAAGCACAAAAAAGAAAGTGAATTTCAAGGTAAACCAAATTTTGTCAACGAAAAGAAAAAGCGATTAAAATTGAATCAATCAATTAGTCAACCAAAAAGATGGATTTGGTTGGATTAAAAATGTTCAACTATAATGAATCAATGAAGCTCGAGTGAGTAAAAATAGAAAAGTAAAGTGAGAAAAAAATGAAACGCAAATTCAAGTGCACCTAATTTTTTGGTGAAATTGAATTTTCTCCACTAAATTGACAATTAAAGAGCAACAAGTTACAGAGCATTTGATCATTTACATCATTGTTACAGACATTTTGCTCAAGGTAGACTTGAACTTTCATTAACAGTCGTCTGTCAATCATGAGATGAAAAGTCATGATGAAGATGAAAGTTGATAAAGGAAAGAAAAGTTTCATTTCCAAATTTAAGTTCAATTCTAAAAGAAGTAACCAATTGACGAATACAATAGAGTTTAATGGAGAACAAAAGCGAAACAAGTTTGACCCCATTTTGGTCTACAGATCATCTTCATCGAACTGGTTCACTAATCATCATCTTCTCTCTCTCCTCATCATTAGCACACTTTCTCTGATTCATTTTCTTATCTTCACCCCTCCTTTTCTCCTCATCATCCTTACTTTCCCTCTTTCTCTATTTTACTCTAAAAGTTTAGAGTAACTCAAAATATTTTGATAAACAAAGTTGAATGCAAGTGACAAAGCCACCGACTGTCAATCGTTTGATGAAAAAATACTTTTGCCAACTACAGATAGACACTCTTGTGCACAACCCTCGACTGTCTACCATGAAGTTTACTTGCATCTTGTGCTACTTGGTCTTCACATTGGGTCAACTTCAAGTTGTGTCTTCGGCCAACTCTACTCGTAAATTGGACCCACTTGTTGGCCAATGGTTTAACCTGGAGAAGTCCCTTCGTACGGCTTCAAGTAAACTTGTCACTTCGTTCCTTGAACCCATCATCAATGAAACCCTTCAACAAACTTCAGTCGATTCTTTATGTAAGTTTTCTTTGCATCGTTTCCTTAAAGATTTGGCTTCACTTGAAACTTGGGCCACTCAAAGTAAGTAATGCTTAACAGTCTATTTCTTGTTCATCTTAATCATCATCGTCTTAATAACAATTGAATAGACAACAATCAACAAAACAAGGTGGAATAAAGAGAAAGAGACTTTTGACTTTTATCTTTGCTTAACTTTCCAATTTGCAAGACAATTTACTGAATAGCAAAGGATTCATTTCGACGATAAATTGTCCAATGATAATTGATGCAAAAAGTCGAATCTTTTGAATTGACGAATTGCAGTTTCATTGAACTGAAGTTCGAAGTTTCTAGAACTTTATGAATTGCATTTGAATTATTGAACTTCATTAACTCGAGGAAATTGATTCCTGATCAAAACGTTGAAACTCATAACAATCAGTGTGACTCTTACCTTGAGTTTAACGATTATTATTAACGAAAACGAGGTAAAAGTCTGATAATTAACATTCAAACTTGACTAAATCAAACAATTGACTTTGTTAATAATAACGATTTGTAAAAAGCAAAAATTAAAAGAACGAAAAGGAGAGAGAAATGGCAAAAATCTTTACCATTAACCTGATTGACAAACGGAATGAAAAATTTAACTGATTATTGATCAGCAATTGAGTTCATTTTAAAAAGATTAAATCACAAATCGGATTAAAAAGGTAAATATTTTAATCCAAGCATTAAAACAGATAACCATGGAATTTAATTTCCCAGATTTTCCAATTCCACTCATTTTCAGACAAAGAGTTGATTTGCTCATGAACCGTTGAAATCCTCAGCTTCTTTGGAAAAAGAACAATGTAGATTTTCATTTTCTGCTAATTAATTTAGAATATTTTCCAATCTTTTCTCTAGATCATGATGATTATTAGCCGATAATCATTCCAACAGCGCTAACTGTTGACAACTTAATCTTGTTGTCCAATATGCGCCAAACAAGAGGAAAAAACAATTGTGCGAAATAAATGTTTATTTGAGAAGAAAATTGTTTTTTCCAACAAAACTAAATGAAAATCTATTTTTAAAAATTTCATTGTTTTGTTCAATTTGAAGATGATGATGATAATGATGATATTGACAGTTGAATGGCAAAAAGTTTTTTCATGAAAATTTCATTTGTTACATTTCTTTTGATAGTATTTGATTCATCCGGAAAACTTCCAATTACCGGTCTTTTGGAAGGAAGCAATTCACATCTTGGTCGTTACGATGAGTGTCTTTCAGTGCACAAGGGTCTCACTCTTGGGTCACAAGTGAAGACCTTACAAGGCCAATACTGTTCCCTACTGATTAGACCACCATTGCCTCCAAGACCCAAATGGGGAACCATAAGCAACAAGATAACCTCGTTGGCCAACCTCACAGCACCAGATCAGGTTAGTTGTTTAGCCTCTTTCAAACCTTTAACCGCACACAAGCTTTATCTAATTTCGTCAAATTTTCAATGTTCATTTGGTTGACGTTCCAAAACTTATTCGACTGAATAATCGTAAAATAGAGGTAATGATCATGGTAATGATGACTGTAATAATGATGATAATTCAATGCTTCCGCAATCGTTAACCAACTTGTCTTCCATAAGGTAACTTTCAAAGTTACGGTAACATTAATATCCACTTTACTCATGATAATTGTATTTGAGTAAAGGAAAAATAAGAAGAGAAAAGTGACGATCATTATTGTTTTGAAAAGTTGCAAGTCGAGTTGATTAATAATGGAAAGATGTTGATAGCAATCAATAAAAGAAGAATTGATTTCAATCATTTCTTCTCAATTCAATTGTCACCAAATTTGGAATAAGTTTTAAAATTAAATTTCAAAGATTCACCTCTCATCGAAAGTCAAAATAACCAATTTCACTCTCATGTAATTCAATATTGTTTCATCAGTTCAACTTGATGACAAGAATACAGTTTTTTACTCTTCCATTTGTTAATTGATTCAGTGGAAATTAAATGCTAACCATGCAACAATTTATTGAGTTAAAGACTAATTTACGTTTAAATGAGTTGAACAAGGCTTAAGGTAAAAAAAGTGTTGTTCGCCTTTCCATTCAATTCGAAGGCTGATTGTAACGTAGCTTAAATCTTAATTAGAGTTGTACATAAATCTCTTACTTACGTATTCATCGGATTTATCATCATTTCTTCTTCTTTCTTTCCTTTCTCTTCTCCTTCTCTGGATGAATCCTTTTCCCTTGTAATCATCAACTTCTTTAAATTTGTTATTCCAATTAATGTTACCAACTTTGCTCTTCATGATAACCTTTTATTATCATATTTTTTCCTCTCACTGCTTACAGGGCTACATTTTCAGGTTACATTGTGTTCTTAATCACGCAATTTGCCTTTAGCAAACAACAAATTTTTACCCGAAATTTTTTTTCCACTCAACCAATTGAGCTTTCCTGATGAACCTTAAGATCTAATTAATTGAGTTTAACTTAGATTGATGAGCTTTAATAATTACAGAGGTAAAAGGTAGGCAAAAAAGTAGTTTGACTTGTGACTTCATGGAAAAATTTTGAGCCAAAATTTTTTCCACAAAATTCATCTTCCATTCCAAATTGAAACATTTTGATCAATTAATTTGAATTGATCACTTTGATGGACAAGTTAGAAAAGTCTAGAATCATTTTAATCATAAATTGACAAAAATAATTTTCGCTTCAAGACTTTTGAGTAAAAGATATTCGGTTGAATTGAAGAGTCCAACTTCAATCATAGTGATGTTTGCATGATGGGGCGATCTTAGATGAAAATATTCATTCAAGTCAAAGCAACAGTAGATTTACCAGTAGTATTATCCTGGAAATTGTCTGCTTTGTCTATTTTGATCCATCATCACTGGTTTAAATGTTTAAAAGTTGTAATTGAAGGAAAATAGAAATGTAAAATCTTAATATCTGCTGCGTGATTATGCTCGTAATGATAATAATAAAATTTTTGTTTCTTTAATTCATAAATTGTACAAAATGCAGAACTGTATTTTGTTAAAAACTTTACTTTTGATGATAAAATGAGTTTTCCAGACTCTATTTTGTTACCTTTTTGGTTGTGAAATTTTTCATTTTTGCCTTTTCTATCTGATTTTATTCAATTCTGTTTTTGAAACTTTTCCTTCTCAATAATTCTTACCAAGTTACAATATCAAAACTAAGCAGATGCAACAAAAAGATTTACTTAAGTAAGTATTTATTAAAATAAAAGATAATACAAAAGCAGTAATAACAATAAATCCTTAAACAGGTTAATGATTCCATTTCTTTTGACCTTAAATATCGCTGTTTCTTATTTAAATTTTTTTCTAAAGTCACTTAAGGATAGTTTGAATCGAAATAGACTAGATATGATTTAACCGTGAAGGTCCAACAGAACAAGAATGCGTCGAAAAGATATTCTTCAGTTTAAAAGAACTTTTTTTACTAATTATTTTTCCTTTCGAAACGCCAAAGGAAAATGGGACAAAATTCGCCTTTCTTTTCAGAAATAATATTTTCTATCCTTCATTGATTCATAGCTCAACGAGTTGAGCGAGTTTGAATTGCTACAAAAAGATTCAGATTCGCAAATCTTTAAATTCTTATAATTCAAGCGAAACTTATTTCACGCAAAACATCAACGAGCAAAAGTTTGTTTTTTGTCTTCGTTGGCTTTTAGTTTTCAATTCACAGCTTCTTTTTATTAAAATCTTGTTTCTCTCAAAAATGATGACAAATAAAGGTGAATAAATGTCATGTCAAGTTTAAAGCGAAATATATTGTCTAGTGTATTATTTGCAGCATTCGTAGGTGAAATTGAATATAATGTTTATTAACAGTTCAATTCCCAGTGAATAATAGGAAAAGTTATGCATGAGAATGATGATGATGATGATACATAAGATATTTTTATCTTTCGTTCAACATTCACTCAAATTGAAAGACAACTAGAGAAGTAAAAAAACTCCCAATAGGGAGTTTCATATCACGCTTCAAATGAACATGTACACATTATTATTGTGCAACATACGTTTACATATAAACTGTCTATTCATATTGTTCAATGTCTCTTTAGTTTACATTTTCAAAATTGTTGTAATAAGAATAAAATCATTTTCCATCTTTTTTTTCGTTCAACACTTTTTTCTTTCTGCTTCTCATTTTCATCTTATTCTCGACTCATTGATTCATCTTGTGCAAGTTTTAGTCACGCAACAGTTGATTGATTGTGTGACAGTTTTGGTCTTTGTAAACCACTAAACAAAACATTGAGCGAAAAGAGAGAAAACAAAATTTGGTCTAAAAAAGAAGAGATGAAACAATTATATCTTTTCTGTTTTGCCTGATATTCAACTGATGGAAATAGTTGAAAATGATGTGTGAATAGATAAGTTTCTCGAAAAAAAAGTTGAATCTTGTGCAATTCACTTTTCGTGTTATCATATTTATGCTAATAATATAAATGATAAAGAACTCTCCCAGTTTGGAATGAAATTTCCAGTTAAACAAATTTCGACATGCACTTTCTACTTTCATAGTTTATCACTAGTCTTTTTAACTTTACGAATGACATTTCAATCAAAGTCATTTTATTTTGTAGCAGCAGATATTTTATGATTGGTGATTCTACAGTGCTTGAACGTACAGTATTTTTCAAAAAAACTGTCAGTTCTCTATGTTCGTTTCGCGATGGAATATCTCTGATATTATGCGTGGGAATTTCATCAAATTTTGCTAAGGGGCTAAAACGTGTTCAGTGAACTTGATTTTCAAAAAATCTCAGCATTTAGAGTGCGATTTGTACGAGAAAATTTAGATTGAAATGACCTCAGCTGCCTAAAATCATGAAAAAAGACTGCAAGTCTGTTTTGGATTGAAAAATGTCTCAAACTTAGGCTTTGACATTGCTAATGTGTGCTGAGTCAATCGTATAATCATTTTCAGGGTTGAAAATAAAATTATAAAGTCCGAGTTTATGGCAAATAAGAGTTAATTCGGGTCGGTCACCCTAAATTCAACAAACCAACAGGTGGCGCTTATCATTTCTCCATTATAAACTCCATAGAAGTTTTTAACTTCCATAATTTTTGCACTAAAAACTCGACTTGTTATGTGTATAAAAGTCGAAGGACGGCACATATCATGCTAATTTTTTTCAAATTTCATCTTTGACTCATATAGTTTTAGCCCAGCTAATCTCAATTATCTGAAGTTTATAATTAATGAAAAATGAATGCTTTAATTACTGACAATTTTTTTGAAAAATACTGTATAGTACAGCAAATGGTTGTTAGCTTTTTGACTACTTCAATGAAATCATCATAAATTTGTCAGCAAACACAACAATTAAAAACTAGAATGAAAAAATGAGTATATGGAAACTGTACATGAACCAATTGAACGTTTATTGGAATTTTTGTTTACAATTCTTGACTTATCATTGATAAATGAAACTTGCCAAAGCAATTATGAGGGTTAATGAAAGGGTAAACATGGATGTAATGAAACTGTTGTTTATCGTAAAGAGATTGGCGAAAGTAAAGCCAACGTCACTTAATGCCATTCGAGCGATAAAGATGTCATTCTAGAAGAAAAATTGGAAAGTATTAATAAAAGTTCATTTTTGGGATTAATTGAGATTCTTTTATTGACTTACTTCATGATATAAATGGATTGAGTTTAATTTGAATGAAAGTTCATACAAATCTTCCAACCCTTGGCGAGATAAGTTGTTCACTGAGACCAAATTATAAGTCAAGAGTATTAGCTGAATTGTTTGGATAGATATAGCCAATAGGTAAAGTGTTTCGATTTTTGCCTGCGGTCCAAATAATCTAACAATGTTCACAATATTCTGTGAAAAGTATTCAACGTAAAATAGTGTTATAAAACAGCGAAACAATTTCTCAGCATTTTGTGTCGATCGCACTGCATGACTGTATTTTTTTCTTAAATCTCTGATTTCACGGAATGAAGTAAACAATTGGTTCGATGTTTCACTCATGGTAGTGATTTGTGAATTAATTTCATTGAAAACAGCCCTTAAACAGATGCAAATGTTACAAATCATGTTAAGCAGGAATAATGATCCAATTACCATGAAGTACTCATCAATAATGAGCAAAGTAGCTCTGATTTTGCCTATTTTTTGTATGTGTGGTAAAATGTAAACCGTGAAAAGTATAGCTGAGCACATAAAAGAGACAACAAGAATATTGAGATTTAATTGGCGATTCCGTTTGATTGTACGAACAGTTGTACTATTAGTTTCAATAGATAGCAATTCAATGATGGAAATGAATTTTTTAAAATAATCTAAATTAAAGCCAAACACAACCATCAAAACTTTAAGTGACAAAATGATTATTACTATAGAGACATGAACGCACTCGAAGA